TGGGGACCAAAATGAGGCCCAAACTTTACCTGTACAATGACCATTTGTATACCTAACCCTGAATTGTACCCATCTTTAAAATAAAAATTAAAACAAATAAGTAAATGAAATTATTAATAAATTTAAAAAAATAAAATAGGGTTTTTACAGCAGTAATTCAGTTAAATGAAGTAATTAAAATGGGTCCTAAATCAATATAACTGATGACTTTATACAAGGGGGAAATTTGGCCAGGCTCAGTAGCTCAACCTGTAATCCCAGCACTTTGGGTGGCCGAGGCGAATGGATTGCCTGAGTCTGTGAGTTTGACATCAGCCTGGGCAACTTGGTGAGACCTCATCTCTACAAAAAATCAAAAATTAGCCAGGCGTGGTAGGCACGCGTGTAGTTCCAGCTACTTGGAAGGCTGAGGCAGAAGTAACACTTGAGCCCAGCAGGTCGATGCTGGGGTGGCCTGAGCATGCCACTGCACTCCAGCCTGAGAGATGGAGTGAGACTCCAACTCAAAAAAAAAGGGGCGGGAGGAGTTTGCATACAGACAGACACACACAGAGGGAGAGCTATGTAAAGAAACATAAAGAAAAGCCATTTGAAGATTCAAGTTATGCTGTCAACAAGCCAAGGAGCACCTGGGACTATCAGAAACTGGAAGGGGCAAGAAAGGATTCTTCCCCTATAGGTTTCAGAGGGACCATGGCTCATATCAACACCTTGATTTTGGACATCCAGCCTCCAAAACTGAGACAATAAATGTGTGTTGTTTTAAGCCACCCAATTTGTGGTACTTTGTTATGACAGATCCAGAAAATTAATACTATTTGTGTATTTAAAAATGTATGTCTAGGCCGGGCGCAGCGGCTCAAGCCTGTAATCTCAGCACTTTGGGAGACCGAGGAGAGAGGATTGCCTGAGCTCAGGGGTTCGAGACCAGCCTGAGCAACATGGTGAGGCCTCGTCTCTACAATAAAAATAAGAAAATAAAAAAATTAGCCAGGCATGGTGGTTCACGCCTGTAGTTCCGGCTACTTGGAATGCTGAGACAGAAGGATAGCCGGAGCCCAGCAGGTCAACGCTGGGATGGCAATGAGTGTGCCTCTGCTCTCCAGCCTGGGCAATGGAATGAGACTCCAATTAAAAAAAAAAGAATCCTAGAAAACATGGGAAATACACTTATGTACATTGGAGTAGGCAACCAATTTTTGACCAATTCCCCAAAAGCAGATTCCGCAAAAGCTGAGATAGACAAGTGGGACCTCATCAAATTGAAAATCTTTTGCACAGCAAAAGAAACCATCAATAAAGTAGGAGACAACCCACAGAATGGGAAAAAATATTTGCTAATTATATATCTGATAAAGACCTAACATCCAGAATCTACAAGGAACTCAAATGAGCTGAAAGGAAGAAACAAACAACCCTATTAAAAAGTGGGCAAAGGACATGAATAGCCAC